CCAACTACACTATACTATTCACATAATCTTCTGAAATAGCAATCCCTACTTGAGAGAATCCATTCCTGAGCAAACGTAACAACCCTTGCAGCTTCTTCAAAACCTGGGTTTCGGACAAAGCTTCATCAGACATAACTCGTCTGCAACGTTCTCTCCAAAGCTCAGCTACCACCATCACCCATAGCAGTCTATCACGGTCAGAGGAGGCACAATTCAGTCTAGATAATGAGATGGTAGTTGCCAAAGAAGCCTCCCAGTCTGCCCCCACCACATTCCTACCTGCAAAAATAGCCTCCAACACATGCTGAGAATAGGAGCACTCAAAGAAAAGGTGATCCCTGGAATCAGCTGTGGAAGAGCATAACGAGCAGAGATTGACCACTGTATTATTCCATCTCTGCACTTTATCGAGAGTAGAAATCTTGTTTAAGATGATCAGCCAGACAAGCAGCTTATCCCTCGGTGTCCCAAAAGATTTCCAAACCAAAGTAAACCATTGCACTGCCTCCTGTTTGTCTCTAATAGTCTCCCAAACTTTCTTAACTGAGAATTTGTCCATCACACAATCCCCCCAGAACACACCAGCTGACCTAACTGTAAGGTACTGAGCCACTATTGGTCTAAGCTTCAATACCTTCCTCCAAGCCCATGAACAGGGAATAGAGGTAGGTATATCCCAAATAGATGTATATGTGAGTTGGTAGTGCCTGACCCAACTCGCCCACAGAGAGGAAGAATTTGAAGATATAGCCCAAAGATGCCTTACTAAGCAAGCCATGTTCCAGCTCCTTAAATCTTTAAAACCTAACCCCCCTTCTTTCTTAGGCCTTGCTACCATTTGCCAGTGAACTTTAGCCCTCTTTCCCTCCTCCTCCTCTGCACTCCACAAGAAGTCAGAGCATGCTTTCTCAACCATTTTAATCACCTTAACTGGCAGCTGAATAATCCCCATCCAATACTGAGTGATACTGGAAATGACAGCAGTGATGAGCTGCATTTTACCAGCATAGGTCAAAGTCTTCACCCTCCACCCCCTGATTCTTGCAGTTATTTTGTCAACCAAAGCATGACAGTCAGCAGTATTGAGTTTCGCAGCTATAAGAGGGATCCCCAAGTATCTCACAGGTAATTGCCCAATAGCAAAACCAGTACTAGATGAAATTTGTGACTGCACTCTAGTGTCCACCACTCCACAGAATACCTCACTCTTTGCAGGATTACATCTCAGCCTAGATACAATATAAAATGCATCCAAAATAGATTTTGCTTTCCCTACAGCCTCAGGAGTCCCTTTTGTGAAGACCAGGAGGTCATCAGCAAAACACAGGTGGGATAGACCTATTCTATGGGTTTGAGGGTGGGGAGGAAGGGACTTTATGGCATAAGCCCTATTCAACATGCAGGAAAGGAGTTCCATAGCAATGGTAAAGAGATAGGGGGGAGAGGATCCCCCTGTCTCAGTCCCTTTTGAGCAGAAAAATAGCCCACTAACCCTCCATTGAAGCTAACACTCAAGTTGGTACTATGAAGACAAACATCAATCCATCTTATGAACTGGTCAGGTATTTTCATAGCATTCATTACTGTTTTTAAGTAACCCCAATCAACACTATCAAAGGCCTTCATCACATCCACTTTCAGGGCACATCTAGGGGATATGGTTTTCCTGTTGTAAAGTCTAACCATCTCATGGGCAAGGAGTATATTATCACTAATCAGTCGCCCCTTAATGAAGGCAGACTGATTCTGACTAATGATAATAGGAAGCACTTCTCTAAGTCTGTTTGCAAGAACTTTAGCAATACACTTATACAGTATATTGCAACACGATATTGGCCTAAACTGCCTCATACATTCAGCATTCTGCACTTTAGGAATGAGAGCTAGGTAAGTAGAGTTTACCTCTGAGAGAAGTCTCCCTGTTCTGAAGAAATCCAAGATTGCATCAGTTGCTTCCATTCCCAAAATCTCCCAATTATGCTGGAAAAATCTGGCTGTGAAGCCAGACCCAGGAGATTTATCTCCATTCATAGAAAAAAGAGCAGTTTTCACTTCTTCCCTTGTGACTGGAGAACAAAGGGGCTCAGCCTGCTCAGGAGTGAGAAAATGGACCAGAAGTTGGGAAATCAGCTCACTACTTATTTCCTGAACATCTGGATTCTTTGTGCACAGCAGATTCTGATAGAATCTAACTGCTTCCCCACTCATCTCCTTTGCATCAGTTAGAGCTGTCCCATCTTCTGAAACAAGCTTTTTAATAGTTGACCGAGCTTGACGAGCCTTAACAGAACTATGAAAGAAAGAAGTGTTTAAATTCCCTGAATTCACCCAAAGTTGTCTTGATTTCTGTCTATATATAGTCTCCTCTTCTTTGAGCAGGCCCAATAATCGAGTTTGGCATTCATTTACCTTCTGAAAAGACACAAGAGATGGCTGTTGGAGAGCCTCTATCTGCAAACCCTCTATTTCACAACGAACTTGTCGGACTCTTTCAGAAATTTCTGAATAGGATGAACGATTCAGCTTCTTCAACTGCCTTTTAACTTCTTTCAACTTCTGACAGATGACAAACATAGTAGTCCCCCTGACTCTTTTATTCCAGGCTGCTGTTACAATCTCCTTATATTGAGGATGGTTCTCCCAGCAGTTGAAATATTTGAACGTCTTAGGCAATGAGGCTATCTGAATATCAGTATTCATTAGTAAACCACAGTGGTCTGAAAGCCGCGGAGGAAGAAGTTTCTCTCCTCATTGTTATTTCTAGGTTACGTAAGGATTTTGGGAATGATACAGAGGCTGGAAGAGATGGAGGGTTTGAGTTTTTGTATCTCAAATTGGGTTGTGTGAGCTTGGTGGGTTCTGGGTTTTTGGGTTCCAGAACATCCCCACACCAACATTGATTCTTTGTTTTTTGAGATTCTCATGTCACCGGTTATGGATTTTATGGGGGGAAGGGATGGCGACTGGCAGTACCCATCTGGAAATAAAAACCACACACTTGTTTCATTCCATTACCAAGGGAATGAGAATTCCTGCAATGGAATCAAATTGAAAGGTTTACCGGTCGGCGGCTTCGTTGGTCCACCCCAGTTCTTGATTTTGGTGATCTAGAGGCCTCCATGGCCGGGATTCGACGGCGTCGGTAGCGGAGGAGCCCAGGATATTTCGATCCTATCACTACCTGTGTAAAGGAAGGTAGATCATAGAACAATTGGATGGGCGATAGAATAGGAAGTAGAAGATTGCGTGGTAGATCTAGGTTGCCGACGGACATCGGCGGCGGAGGAAGACGGTGATGGGGAGAAGAAGGTGGGAGGAAGCAATGCCTGTTTTGGTGCGCGAGAGGAAGAACGTGAGATGGATTAAAGAGTCGTCGGAGGAAGTGAGCCGGAAAAGGAAGGTGAGCGATTGCGGGAGAAGATGAGCGGTTGCGCAGAGCCTGAGCGGACAAGCAAGCGAATAAAATAAAAAATAAAATTATTTTATCAAAAAGTAAAATTTTGAATATGACATAGCGTACAGGTGGCATGGTTTGTGTAGCTGGAGATGACGTGTCGTCCAAATGGCATCCACATCAGCATAACATTCATGTTACTAACGGAATCACTAACGATGTTAAAGTTTTTCACGAAAATGGCTAGATTTGTCAAATAAGTTTCGGAAAAGTGGCCATATCTGTGTATTTTTCAAAAATTGGCTATTATTGTCATAAACTGGATAGTTATGGTTATCCAAGTGTATTTTGCCTTTATTTTTTACAGAAAAAAAGGCACACATACACTGGAAAATGAGTTATATTGATGATACCGACTCATATAGTACCACTCCGATAAGATTAACAAAACTCTATTCTAGCAAATTGTTGCATACTTTATTTTGTTAGACATATTTATTTTATGTAAACGTACATGGATTAGGGAACCAACTCAAACATTATGCATATAATGTACTTCAATCTTGTGATAGATAGAAAACAAAATAATAGTGTCTACTTCCGGTGCAGCAATTACTGAATGATTAGTTTAGCCAACTATCATAAAGGCGGGCAGTGGAATGTTCAGATAACTTGGCATCCAATATTTCCTTTGTTTGTTGGTTTGGTTTATTTCAGGATTCATATGTTATGTTAACACTGTATACATGTTTTGGTACAGGGACTTTCCTGTGTTAAATTGTACAGCTTGCATGATCCTACTCTAGAGGTAGCAAGAGGAGGGATAGTGAGCAAAAATCCACGTTGTCGTCGTGTAGGGGATCAAGAATTGGGCAAAGGCTTCTATGAAATATTTGTTGATGTAGCAATCGAGCCTGAGGAGCGTTTAGTACGCCCATATGGAAGTTATCAAACCATTGGAGATGCAGTAGCAGAATCGATCGCTTGGCCATCGTGCTTGGTAAGTTAATACAAGAAAATTTTTTAAGAGCCACACCTAGTTGTACATGTATATGGTATGTGGCTGATTCGGTCCGGTTGGTGTATATGTTCATGTGTAACAGGTGAAGAAGACTGGTGTTGTTAAACCATTATGATCATTGGTCAAAGCTATTGAGGGCGAAGACTATCTTAGTTGAATAGTTGGTTCTTAATTTCGTGGTCCAACTTTGATGTTGTTGAGTGAACAATGACATACATTTTAGTTTTATCTATGTAATTTTCACATGAATTTTATGATGGATTTTATGCATATGGTCATAATTAAAAAAATATATTTTCATTATTTTTATAATTGCATTTATATTACAAATTATTGCCGTGATATAAATGTTTTATTGTCAAAATCAATAATAAGAAGCATATGTAATTGTCTCGATATAAACCATTAGAGACAAAAAAAAAACATGTCTCCGAAAGTCTATAAAGATAACCATCTGATACATACTGTTTGATATCCACGAATGGAAATAGCACGAAGAGGTATCGTGAAATAAGCACCAAAGGGTCTTCTTCGTTGACCCTTTCTTTATGATTCAAGAAACACCTCAAACAATGGAAACGAAATTCTTGTTCAACCTAGCAATCAAAAATCCTTTCCAAGAAATGGCTGCCCTCGCTTGGCTGATAATCGTCCTCGTCGGTCTCTCCATGATCACCAACGACCACGTGGCGGTGGTGGTTGCGGCGCCGGCGTCGACGGAGGCGTATTCGTTCGCCGACCACTCCTGCGGCCTGATACCGATCAGTCCGTCGAGCCCATTGGGCCAGGCGAGAAAGGGCATCCTCATCAACGTGGTCAACGTCCACAACTCTCACCCGGGCGAGTTCTCGACGTGCATCAACGGGCTCGAGTTTCTTCGCTCGGAAGTTTTCGCCGGAATGCCTGCCGCCGCTGATGGATATTGCCGATGACGTTATTTCCCGGGACTGAGTGCATCAGCAAATGGGACTACAGAAAATTGAGATACCCAAATGTATAGAGAGCCTGGGATTTCATGGTACCCAAATGATCCCCCCGGGACCGAAGTACAGATTGGGCTCGTCGTCCTCCCTGAATCCCCTGTCAAGGAAAAGCTCGTCGCTTCCGTCGTAACCGTCGATGACCTTCCAATCAAGCGCTTCCACAGCTACGGTATTGTTTAAACCTTGTTCCCAAATCGAGAGGGGCTTTTTCTTTGTCTTTCTCGAGCTTTTTTTGCTTCCCTTTCCCCGTTTGCTCTAGTGGGGTCTGATGATCTTGAAGAACTGAGTAATGGGTTCGCTTGACTACGAGTCAAAGTTGTGTTCTTTGAATGATTCTGGTTGTGTTCCGATTAGAAACAAAGTGTTTGATTTTGGTCCCAACTGGGGTTTTGATTGTTTTCTTCCCTTGTATTGTTCTACTCTCTTGCGATGGGTTATCTGAATCACGGCGCCTTTCGCTTGCAATCTTGGAAGAGTTAAAAGGTGTTGGTATAAGAGTTGAGAACTTCCGCTGAATTCCTTACAGGTTGCGTTCTCTGTGTTCTTACATAGTTCTATAATGATCTAGCTGCTCCTGTAGGAATTCAATTTATAGTTCTATAATGATCTAGCTGCTCCTGTAGGAATTCAATTTGAAAGTTCTAATCCTTCTTCCGGAGGCGGCGGTGGCGATAAAGCTGGAAACACTTGCCTCCGGCGACTTTGTTGGTCCGGCGGTCCCTGCAATCAATTTTCCTCAGCCGAGAAGTAAAGAACCAATTAATGGCCCCAATGGTCCGTTTCGTCCCATTTGGTTTTAATACATCACTTATGTTATTTGATGTTATTGGATCTTTAATGATCCGTTACAAGTGATTAATGAGTCACTAAAGCGATCCTTATGGCGCTCTACGACCTTTATGGTTGGTTTATATCTCAATTATGGAATAGAAAGAATTAATTTATGACTTTCAGAATTAATTTCTGGCTTTCAAAGTATCAGTGGCGCAAACTTCATCCGCATCGGAAAAGCTTCATCCGTTGGAATTTTATGAGCATTTACTCGTCGTATTGAAAGACGCCCATTATTTCAGGCTGTGGTTAAAAACGTCATTAATTAATAATTAATTGCGATTCCTTTTGTGTTTAGCCAACAATTAACTTAATGAGTCATTAGCTCAATTTATTAGAATTGATGACATTTCCTTCAATTCATTTTAATTTAAGGCCCATCGGCAGTAGAATGTGAATTCTAAAACTCAATTTTTGGTTTCTTGCCAAATGGTATGACAAAAAATTTTTGTTAGAAAATTAAATAGGGTTAATAAATCACGACAAAGTTGAAGAGTGGGTGATTAGCCGATATGGCTTTCCACTAAGAATGGTTTGTATTATTTTGTATTTGTATTATGTTAAACGACATTGCAAACTATGGTGGCTCTTCAATTTCATGAAGTAAATTGATTTCTCAAATATCTAGATTGTTGGGAATATCAAGAGATTATTGAACAGTTGTTCTTTCATTGCCCTCTTGTCATCATGCTATGGACTTTTAGTGGGATTAAGTGATATGCTTGCTTCCGCCCAAACTTCGAATTTTAGTATATGGTGGCGACAATGTTATGTTTTCAATAAACTTTCAAACCCACATTCTCCCATGCGTTTGCCTTTTTTGTAGAATCTGGAAGTCTCTTAACAAAGTGGGTTTTGAATATACTCAGCCGCACGCCCGTTCTCTTGCCCGTCAATTCCATTTCCAAGTCATTGAATTTTCCTTAGCCTTTCAACCCCCAGGACCTCTCTCTCAGTCTTGTACCCTCTCTTCCTTCCGTTTTGCATCGCCCGCCTCTAGACTTTGTGAAGATCAACTTTGTTGCTGCTGTTTGTCGTTCCGGTTGCTCGTCTGGCCTCGTCGTACATGGGACAGACGGGCAAGTTCTACTGGCCTGGGATCTTAGCACCAAGGAGTTTTCGATCCCTATCTAGCAAAACACCTTGCTGCTAGGTGATCCTGAAGTGGTGATTCGGCATCTGGACCGTAGAACAGTGGAAGATTCGATAGGCGACTCACTGCTCCAAGAGTGTCATCGGCTCCCATTTTCATGCTCTCTTTGTATAGCTTTTAGTGTGGTTCTGCGGACTGCCAACTGAGCTGCCCATAGAGTGGCACCTAAAGCTCTGTTGCTGTCCTCTTTAGAGGTAGTGTCCTTTGATTTTGTAGGGTGGTTTCACTAAGTGTTGCTTTGGGTGGGGTTTTGGGTAGAGGTTTCTAACTTTTTTTCTCTTGTCATTACTTGGAAAAAGAAAAAAAAAACCATCTGATACATGGAGTTATTGGAGTCGATAATATGCGCCCCTAAAATGTAATAACACAACAAATTATTTGCGTCCCAAAGTTAAAATAGAGATAAAATTATTTGTTTCCAAATATATTCATTAGAGGCAAACTGTTATGTTTCTATAAAGGTTTTTTTTTTTTTGGTAAAAAAGTGGGACGCTAAAAGGGCGCTCTATAAAGGTTTTTGTATGTAAATATAATTGGCTCAATTACTACCATTAAAATCAAATATATCTCTCTCTAAAAGTATTCGGCAAGGCAAAAAACACACTTTTAAAAGGGCATTTACCATCAAATAAATTTGCTTCTGATTCTTTCATAAGTAGCAAATATTAATTGCATCTATATTTGCTTCTAAAGGGAATTAGAGAGGGTGGCGTCCGATGCAAATAATGTATTTGATTCCATAAGTATACAGAAACAAATAAAAGACATTATGAGTCAAATAATCTCTCTCTCTAAAGCCAGATTTTCTTGTAGTGCTTGATGATAGTTTTTCAGAAATACATTCTATGCATTCGTAGATCGATCCTCCCATCATTGCCTCTAACTTCTCTCAGTGTGATGAACGAGCAGCAAAACTGTAATCCAAACCTGCGAACACAATTTTCCATCAAATAGTATCACCCAAGTTTTGTAATATAAAATAATACTAGGTAAGCCCGCTCGCGTCGAATGGACGATATGAATTTATGTAAAATAAGCCAGATTATGTAAACTCCAAAATTGTTGTTTCCTCCCTGCCTTAGCACGTTTCCTGCTGCATAGCTGCAATAAACAAAGCAAATGAATGAAAATATCACATTAGAACTTAAATGAATAAAAGAAAGCAAAACAACCCAAAGTTCATTTGTTCAAAATGGAAAATCCATTGTTGAAAATAATTAAATTATATGCTTCGCGTGTGACGGATTTTGTAAAGAAGTGCTCTGCTATAAAATAACTGACCGAGGTTAGCTTCTTAGAAAGCCTGACATCTATAAAAACTAAAAAGGTAAATTGCATGGTTGGTCATTGAGATTACAAAAAACGTTCATATTTGGTCACTAAAAATATTTAATTCCGTTCGCAGTCACTAAAATTAGTTAAATAGTTCAAACTCGGTCACTCTCCGTCCAACTCCGTTAACTTTGCTTATGTGACAGTCAACTTTTATGGTTGACTGTTAAATGTGTGACGTGGCAATTAAAAAATAATAAAATAAATAACTTTTAAATTCTTTAAATGTCCACCTCGTTTCCTACTATTGAAAAATAAAAAAATATTTTTTTTAATCTAAAAAACCCTAGTCGTCCGTAGGGATGTCAATTTTGCTCATACCCATGGGTATTTTACTATCTAACCCAATTGGGTTGGGTATTAAATCCAAATATATGGATATGGGTAAAGTTTGATGGGTTTGTACCCATACCCATTTACTTTGTGTTGGGTTGGGTTTATAACAAATGAATTTGGGTTTGTACTTATGTAACCTAATTCGCCATGTTTGGGTTGCCGCTCCCGCTTTAGAGCGCGGAAACGCGGATTGTAATGAGATCGCCCAAAATTCGCGAACTCATTTACGATAGAGCGCGAATTGACTTTCGCAGGAGCGTGAATTTCCTTGTTCCGCTCAACCATCTTTCTCTCAGCTCAATTCTGAGCTCCCAAATAGCTCCGTTCTTTCGTTAATCGGCAACAAGTCCCTCACTCCTAGTTGCCCCCGCCTGCCCCCGCCATGCTGCCGATTCTAACCAGGTCATCGTTAAGTCTATCCATGGCTAACCGTTGCCGACATCGTCATCATCTTTCTCCCAGTTCACCGGTTGCCATCCTCGCCGCTCCAGCTATCAGTCACCATGCATCTCTGTTTCTACCTCTAGATTACTAGATTTTACACAAACAGAGCATGCAAATGGACATGGTGTTCGTTGATTTGATGACTGAGATGGAAACCCGAGTTTGACTGATTGAGAAAGCGCAAACCCCATATTTGTTCCCCTTTGCGGTCATAGTGTCCGGGGATTCTTCGCCGCCAGCGAGACCAGAGAGGCATCGACGTTGCAGCTAAATTGCCTAGGAGCATGCCGCGATTGGTTCCCACATGCTCGTCTCCTTCCTCCGGGGACAACTATATCCTTTCTATCGTCGTTGCCGTCAACTAGAAAGGTATCAATTGCTGGCTTTAGAAGGGTAAATTGAAGGAACAAAGGAAGAACAACAGGTAGAATTGATGATAGGGATTCGATCAGGTTATAGAATACAGAGAATGTGAAGAAAGGGAAAGTAAGAGAGAGAAAGTGGTTTAAGAATGATATTTTTGTATTTTCGTTTGTAATTGGGAGTGGAACAGTAAAAAGAAAAGTTGCCTAGTGGGGACATTTGGAATTCTTGTTATATTTTTATCTAGTTAAAATACATTTAGAAAATAATTATTGAAAATATATTTAGAATATAATTAATAATTAATATAATATTGACGCTCTATTCACGCTCTCAAAGTTAAGTTCTTCGAAAATCGACGCTCTCACGCTCTCGCTCCCGCTCGCGCTCTCGCTCTCGCTCCACGCTCTGGTTACCTAAGTTTGTACCCATGCTCAAATACAAATTACAGTTTGGTACCTAAACTTAATAGATATACATATTTAGTACCTAAATTTAATTTTTTTTGCATATAAGTCCTCAAAATATCGATGGAAAATTATGTTTTGGTACCTAAATTTTTTTGGTCTTACATTTTGGTACCTAAACTTTTCAAGTTTTACAAATAGGTCCAATTTTTGCATGTGTAGTTAAAACACCCTCAAGTAAATGGATATTCATATCCAACCCATACTCATTTAGATAATATCCATATCTAACCCAAATCCATATATAAACCCCAAACCCATACACGCATCACCCAAACCCTACCCATAATAAATGGGTCTACTTGGGTTTGGGCAAAATTACCCATAGGTGGGTAAATTGCCATCCCTACTCGTCCGCCCCTGCATCTCCCACCACCGATCTCTCTTCTCGTCGCTGTGTCCCTAGCCGGTGAAGACTGAACGAGCTCCCTCCGATTCACCCCTCTCTCTCTACTCTCTTCTCGCAATCCTCGTTCACTCTTTAGCAGGAAAGATCATCGGCGACTCTTCTAAATTCCTAGCATCGCCACACTCTCCTTCACTCGCGAAATCTCAGTCGCCACTCACTCCTTTTTCCCGAAATCACTCCGTCGCTCACTCCTTGGACCAGGAGCTTGCGATTGCAGAAGGAGGAAGGAAAATCGTGAGACGGAGGCCGCGAAACTGCGAGAGTGGCTGGAGCGGTGGCGGTGACAGAGTATGAAGCGGGTGGCGGCGAGTTAGAACCATTGGGCAATGTTGGATCTATGAAATTCCCACTGTTTAATAGCAGTAGCAGAACCGTATAGCAGCACTACTGCCAACACCTTCGCTACGTCAACTCGCCCGACTCTGGGCTCCAGGAAACTCGCCCTTGTTCAGGAGTTCAAGAGTGGGATTCGGACCTCGCCTCACCCTGAGACCTCTGATGTTTATTCCCGGCCGCCCGTGCGCGCCGAGACACTCAACTCCGTCGGCGTTGATCCAAGGAGTCCCTGAAATTTTCGCCTCTGTATATTT